GTCACTGCAACATATACAAGCCACCATGGTATGACAACAGAAGAGTTTAGAAAAGTTGTTGTTAAGTGTCATCAAGTCAGTTCAGACTCGTAGCAGCCCTGTACAGGATTTCCAAGAAGCAGCTGGTGACTTTGAACCACTGGCCTTATGGTTCAAACCGACTTTGCAGTCCAGTGCATTATCCCACAGCGCCTCACCAGTATTCCTTAGGGAAGTTACAGGCTACAATTCAGAATCAGAAATGCTCAGGATACACTTGTTTGCTCAGGGCCACCTCTTTTCAGCCTTGCCTCACAAGCATGCCTCTCTGGTCTTTGACCTCTCAGCTACAGAGCTCCGTGACCTCCTTTTTGTTCAGGGAATGTTAAAAAGCTATTCTAGTTCTACAGATAAATGTCCAAAAGGCATTCTACTTTGCCTGTAAACCTTACCCAAAAGTTTTCAGGTCTAGCTCTATGTATAGGCAAACCTAGCTCTCTAGACAAATGCCTAAAAGGTTCCTTGCTCTGCACAGTCAAGCTGTTGTTCTGAAGACCTGTTCTTGCCCTGTGGGCCTCGAAACCCACTGTTTGTCTTGTGTTCTTGGTGCTGCTTTGTTGCCGTCGTTACCATTTCTCTACTTTCTGTGGTGTTGCACAACTCTGTTTCCTAGTTTGAGGACGCTTGCTGCAGGGATCTTAGAGCCCAAAGGATAGGCTCGACTCTTAAATGGTACCCCCTTACTGCCTCTGAGATGACTCACATTTAACCTAGTGGGCTGTCAAAATTGCTAATCGTTGTTAAAGAGTTTCATACACCTTATTTGTATGGTCCCATGTCACATGGGTGCTTTATACCTTATTTACATTATTAACAAGTTATCCAGTCCCCTTGATTGGCTACAAACACCTCTCATTTGTATAGTGTGGTGCTATAGGATAAGCACTGGACTGCTAACTGGAGGATTGGCAGTTCAAACATACCACTCCTCCTCAGAAACCCTTTACCAGGGTTGAAACCAATTTGACGGCACTTAACAACAACAACAAACCCCATCATTTGGTGGGAGTTACAAAGCTAGGAGTCCTGGAAGCGGTGGTGTGGGTTAATGTGCTGGACTGCAAAGTCGGTTTGAACCACAAGATTGGCAGTTCAAGTTTATTAGCCACTCCTCAGAAACCCTATACAAGGTCACTATGGGTCAGAACCAACTTGAAGGCACTTAATAGATAGTAACAAAGCTAGGAGAGCCATATCAAGTAATTGACCACAGTGTAGTGCTATGAGACAAAGACGCTTTACCAAGCATGACGTCCTTCTCCAGTGGATGGTCCCTTCTGATGACATGGTCAAAGGACATAAGATAAATTCTCACCATTTTTTCTTCTAAGGAACATTTTCACTTCTACGTCTTCCAAGACAGATTGTCATGTTCTTCTGACAGTCCATGTATATTCAGTTTTCTTCTCCGACACCATAATTTACTTCAGTTCTAAAGACTTCATTACTCATTTTCCAGCTTTCCCATGCATATGGTGTAATTGAAAATACCTTTTACTTAGCAGTTTTCAGAATAGTCATTTTGAGTTACTTAGCAGATGTCATATGAGAACAATGAAGCATTTTTGTGTGGAGGGTTTGTTTTTAGTAAGATGATAAATTAATGGATTTAAACATTTGTGTTTTAGTTTGTTGCAAATGATTCTTTTTAGTGGTCAGATTATCCCATCTTTCCTTGATTGGAGTCCTTTTGGCGCAACTCCAATCTTTGGTAGCTTTCTAGCTTGCTTGTATAACAAGGTTTTCTAAGGTCTATTTGTGCATTTCTGCCTTAAGCCTGGAATTGACCATTCGCCTTGTTTTTAAAAATAGGAAATAGTATTATTACTCTGGGCACTAAGGATATTTACTACTTCCGAGTTCATTATTGTTGAGCCTTTTCACTAGTTCAGTGTAGGATTTTTTTAGTAGAAAGTTGATTTGGGTTTTTTTTCCTTCTGGCATTTCTGATTCACAATTAGGGTCCTGAGTTTTTACTTAATATCTGATATCATATCTATCTCTTTCTCTAATGCTGACTATCTTTGTTCAGAATGACAGGAGTGTAGCTTATTTGCATTATCCTCTTACGTACAGTAGTTTCAGAATAATGATATCGATGTTGATACTAATATAATACTGAAAATAACTTGATTTTTAAAAAATTTCCATTTGTCCTTAGAAAAATGGAACTAGGAAAATATAGTGGGATTACTAGGTTTCGGAATCAGTTGAAATAGTTCCTTTCTATGTGTATTAAGCTACCATACACAGGTTCATTTATTTTCAGGGCTTTTGAAAAAAATTAATTTTGCTTTATCATTTACATGGTTCCACACTTAAATCTGCAAAGCAATCTACAGGCAGAGAAGTCTAGCTTTTATGCCTATTTCCTGTACCCTGCCTACCCCCTCCTCTTTAAAACCAAAACACCAAACCCATTGCCATCAAGTTGATTTGATTCTTAGCAACCCTATATCATTCCCAAGGTTATAAATGTTTAAGGGAACAGAAAGCTTCATCTTTTCCCTCAGAGTGTCTGATGGGTTTGAAATGCCACCTTGCAGTTAGAATTCCAGTGCTTATCCTACAGCATCAGTACCCAGAGCTTTTGGTTTACCCTTCCATTTCTGAAATCCAAATATGTGTACATACTCTGTGATTCACTGATCCTTCAATATATGGAGAGGTGAATTAGAAATATACAGAATAGAAGACAGGAAGTATAAGTTAATAAGTTAATGAAAACCTATGCAAAGGGTTTCTACCTAAAAATGAATGGATTAGTGAACTATATTCAACTGAATATGAAATATTCAGAGTTAGAAGTTTCTTTGGTGTGTGTGTGTATATGTGTATGCTACTATGAATAAAGAGGGAAAGGCATTTTTTATATTAAAAAGCTGTTGATGGATTATGATGGAATATTAAACACTTCAATATTTTTAATTTGGCACAGTGAACATTGTGGGTGAAAAATGTAAGGATTGGTTTCATTTTGAAGAATGAAATTACTATCTGGTACAATAAAGAATATATATAGTTGCAGCCTCAGTGAGCTCAAACCTAACAACAATTGTGAGGCTGACACAGGACCAGGTGGTGTTTCATTCTGTTGTGCAT